TCCAGGGACAGTGATTCCACAGTCCCCTCAGGCACCTGTTTGTAAATCCTGTTTCCTGACACTTGACTAGAAACTTGCCACATTGCAGCCAAGTATTTGTGCTTATTACCTGCTCTGAATTTCATTCTAAAATAAATTGCACTTACTTTAGGTGAAGCTGTTTTAATGATTATCAAGAAACTGTACCATCTTTCTTTTACCAGTTTTTGTACATTTAATGAGTTGTGGATGTAAACCCTAAATTGAACATAAGATGCGCATGAAAAACTTGCAACAATTTAATTTTCCAAATATTTGTTTTACCAATGCTGTAGATCATTCTTATAATTGTGGCAAGCACAATTGTAGCTGTACTAGAAACTAAAAATAGTGCAGACATACTAACTCAGTCTGGCAAAGTAAGAATATTTCAAAATAGGGTTCTTAGTGTTGCTTGATTGGTATTTCCAGAGAAAAACTCTGAAGTCAGATGCCACAGCTCAGGAATTTTTAATGTTGTAGCAGAAGGTGACACTCTGTGCTTCAAGAGACACCTGTGAGACAGAGAAAAAAGCAATGCTTCTGGCACCTTTGGTTTTTTGGTTTGGGTTTGTTTTTTGTTTTGTTTTTTTTTAATCCACGAGGGTGGTTTTTAAAAAGCAGATTAGCCAGAGTTATCAGAGTTATGGTATCCAGGGACAGCAGGAAAACTACTCTTCAGGGGGCTTTGTGAGATACATCTAGCCACAGTACTTACACTGTTTCTACCCTCATGTCTTCTTTTCCTGGACCTAGCTCCTAATTTACCTCTCATGCCCAATCTTCCTGTGGAAGATCTTATTGATTGTAGCAGGAATAATAATCATGCTTCAGCATTTATAAGGATTAAAATCTATAAATTCTATTCTCTCATCATGTATTCAATAGTCAGATGGCATCAGAAGCCAGTGACCTGGAACAGAAAAGCACAGAGGAAGACAAAAGTCTGTTCTCTAGAAGATCCATGCTCACTGTGTCATTTTTCTTCTTTGCTCGTTTTGTGTTTCTGATGCTGCCTAACATTACACACTCTGAATTAGCCTCTGGATATGGCTTTTGCTCTACTCTAGAGTTTAGAAGCATTAGCCTCTTAACTTAGTTGCCTACATTTAAATTAGGTATAATGAGTACATTTTTTTGATATTAAAGATCTCTATTCACTTTCAGTAATTGCCTGGGTAAATAGCTCTGGTATCCAAAAGAAATTCTATATGATCCATCTCAACTTAAACCCTTCTTCTTTGAGATGATAACAAGAGGGGTTTATGGCAACCAGAAAATAGAGTATTTTATATAAACATGTAACACTAGAAATAGTAATTTTTGTTTAGAAGAAAAATACTCTGAATGGTAGAAAAAAGAAGGCTATGCTTAGAACACTGGTTCTTTAAGCACTGGATCCAATCTTTCATACTAAATATTTATTTTAATGCAGATGTATAGGTTAGGAATCAATGATATGAAATATCAGACTGGGAAAGCAATGAAACTTTTACTTGTAACACTGACAAATCTGATCTCATTGCTGCTTTACCAAATTAGTCCTGCCTGACTTGATGACTGACCCGAGTATGAATTAGTGCAGTCTTACTGTGCCATTTCCCTGTTCTAAAGTCCCCCCTCAACAACACCCTTTGAACTGAAGCTTTATGTGCACTGCTCCTGACAAGTCTTTTCCTCATCCTGCTCACACAAGTATTTAATCAGGTGGCATATTGCTCTTGGCCAAACAAATAGTTGGCACATTCAGTTCCTCTGTACAGACTTTGCTATTCAAGCAGAGAACATCTGTCCTGTTGGCCGTGCTCACTGGAGGTTATTGAAAGACCAGAGAGACAAGCATATGTTTTTTTATTCCAGTATCTGGACCATTCCAGCTTAGAATGGAAGCACACACTGTTCCTAGCAAATCTTGCTCACAGGCCAGTGACTCTGACCTGTGACTTGTCCTGTGCTTGTAAACCTCAACACATTTGTACCTCTGTTGTACTGATCCTGCTAATCTGTGGATGACCTTTTATTTTATTTTGGGGAGGGGAGTTGCTAAATCCTCTCAAAGGAAAAAAAAAAAATCAGTGATACACACGTGAGCAAAAACTGTGCATGAAAAAGCTTGGTTAAATTTGGCTGAAACTTTTCGAAGTTTTGGAAATTGTTTAATAGTTGAAAAGTGGTGTTCTCTGGAAGTGAATGAATAAAATAGCAGCTATAATGGATAATCCATTGATTTCACTGGGAACCTTTGTATAAGTCATTATATTCTTCTACGGGTACCTCTGTACCTAGGGCTTTTGAAGACTACATCTACAAAGTGTTGTGGTCTACATCAGCTATTATTAAATTTATCTTAAATTTATTTGAGAAGCAGGAAAAGAACTGTACACTGTTAAACTATTTACAATTTAAAACTTTGCTTTAAACAAGTCAGCATTTTCACTAACACCATTGTATTTCAAATGTCCACTAAAAAGGGAAATATTCTTCAATATTTAATGTATTTTATACTGGTATCGGGTAGTTATGGTCCTTTTGTTTGGCCAATTTACAAACACAGTGACAAAGAACAGCTTTTTGATCACTTTTGCCTAATTAGCCTTACTTATAGCTTTCTTCATGAACCAGTCTTCAGGTGTAGTGATATATGACCAGCATGGGAGGCAGTGCATTCTGCACCTCTCCTCTGCTTTGGTGAGACCCCACCTGCAGGGCTGCATCAGCTCTGGGCTCCAGCACAGCAAGGACAGGGACCTGCTGCAGCCAGGCCAGAGGAGCACCGAGGGGAGCAGAGGGATAAGGCAGGAAGATTAAAGGAAAAGCTGAGAGAATTGGGAATGTTCTGCCTGAGAAAGAAAATGTTCTGAGGTGACTCAATTTGGGTCTCCCAGTATCTGAAGGGAGCTCACAAAAAAGATGGAGAGGGACATTTGACAAGAGGATGGAGTGACAGGACAAGGGGGAAGGGCTTCAAACTGAGAGAGAGTTGGTTTATATTAGCCATTACGAAAAAATGCTCTATTGTGAGGGTGGTGAGGCCCTGGCACAGGTTGTCCATAGAAGCTGTGGCTGCCTCATCCCTGGAAGTGTTCAAGGCCAGGCTGGATGGGGCTCTGAGCAACCTGGTCTAGTGGAAGGTATCCCTGCCCATGGCAAGGGGCTCAAAACTTTAAAGTCCCTTCCAACCCAAACCATTCTGTGATTCTATGGTATTTATCTGCAGGGCATATTGAGAGTATAAAAGAGGGTACCATTCCTGATTTGCATCAAGAGGCTTTGGAGTTTTTGTCTGGCTTTGTATGAAGTAGCTGTAATAATCTCAGACACTTGAAAAACCCTGACACCGCAACGTTTGGCAACGGTAAAACAGCTGTCACTGACCGCAGGCAAGAATTAAGGAAGAATTAACCTGCGGACCATTTATGGGAGTATGTGTGGGCAGCGTACATTATGCAGTGTCACAGTTCGGATGCTTGACGTGAAGAAATTATTAAATTAATAAATCTCTAGCAGATGCAAAATAAAGTGGGGGGGGAAGAAACAAAAAAAGGAAGAAAGCAAGGCGAGATAAAACCTCCGGGACCCCAAAGCCGCGGCGACAAAAGGCAGCGCGGGGCGCGGGGGCGGCCGCTGCCCGCCGCCCGCCAGTAGGGGGCGCTCGGGCTTCACCGTGAGCGCCGGGACACCGCGAGGCGCGACAGCGCGGCCGGCCGGCGGCGTGCGACCCCCGGACGGGGCTCGTGTGTCCCCGGACGGGGCTCGTGTGTCCCCGGACGGGGCTCGTGTGTCCCCCTAACGGGGCTTGTGTGTCCCCGAACGGGGCTTGTGTGTCCCCCATAACGGGGTTTGGGGTTTGTGTGCCCCGTAACGGGGTGTCTGTGACCCCCGGCGTGTCTGTGACCCCTTAACAGGGTGTTTGTTCCTCCTTAACGGGGTGTCTGTGACCCTTTAATGGGGTGCCTGTGACCCTTCACTGGGTACCCGAGTCCTTCTTAAAGGGGTGTCTGAGCCCCCTGGGGTGTCTGTGACCCCTCATTGCATGTCCGGGCCCCTCCGAGGTGTCTGCGCGTCCTCAGCGGGGCAGCCGTGTCCCCTCCGGGGTGTGTGTGACCCCCGGGGCGTCTGTGACCCCTCCAGGGGCGGCTGTGCCCATCACGGGGTGTGTGCCCCATCACGGGCTGTGTGCCCCATCACGGGGTGTGTGTCCCCATCACGGGCTGTGTGTCCCATCACGGGCTGTGTGTCCCCATCCCGGGGTGTGTGTCCCCATCACGGGCTGTGTGTCCCCATCCCGGGGTGTGTGTCCCCATCACGGGGTGTGTGCCCCATCCCGGGCTGTGTGTCCCCATCCCGGGGTGTGTGTCCCCATCACGGGGTGTGTGTCCCCATCACGGGGTGTGTGTCCCCATCACGGGCTGTGTGCCCCATCCCGGGGTGTGTGTCCCCATCCCGGGGTGTGTGTCCCATCACGGGGTGTGTGCCCCATCACGGGGTGTGTGTCCCCATCACGGGCTGTGTGTCCCATCACGGGGTGTGTGCCCCATCCCGGGGTGTGTGTCCCCATCACGGGGTGCCTCAGCTCCCATCGCGGGCTGTCAGTGTCCCCCCTCACTGAAGGTACCTTTGTCCCTTTCACGGGCTGTCTCAGCCCACTCACGGGATGTCTGTGCCCGCTCTGGGGTCTGCCCCGCTCCGGCACCGCGAGCCGCTTACAACCCGCTTTCCTCCACGCGGCTCCTTCCCTCCTGTCCCTCCCTGCCTTTGCTGTGGTGCTTCGGGGTTTGTTCCGAGCCTCTGTGGGAGAGGGGCTGTTCTCCCGGGTCCTGGGGGGCGAGGCGGCTCGTTCTCCCGTCTCTGCCACTGCCGGCTTCGGGGACGTGGAAACTTTCCCTCTGGCGGGAGCTGCGCTGCATCCGAGGGGCCCCAAGGGAGGATGGAGGCTCCTGGGTTTCGGCAGAGCCGGCCGGCTCTGTGAGACACGTGCGATCTTTTGTTTTGTGTTTTATTTTATTTGCCACGTTCTCTTCCTTTTCCACAGAGCGGGCCAGCAGAGAAATCCCTGGGGAATATCCTTTCAAGGGTCTCACTCACTCCCGAGCGCCTGCGTGCGCGCGCGAGAGGGAAAATGAATAATTAGAGAACAGTTCCATGAAATCACTTACCGAAAAATTAGCTGCCCATTAAAGAGGAAGCGGTGAGAGGCAATCATGTAAATCCTACCTACACCCAACTGTAGAGGGGAGGCAGCGATCCTGCTTCCCAGCCCTGCGGCCGCCTGCTGGCATCGCCGTCCCCATCTCCCTACCCCGGGAGGAGAGAGAGAGGGACGCGTGGGTGTGGAGCGCAGTGGTTTAGTCCACACCCCGCAGCCTCCCTTCCCCAGGCAGCCTCGGCAGCCGGCTCATTCTCCTCCCTCTCGCTGCCAGCCGGTGTGTCCGCGGCGGCGGAGGCGGCGGGAGAGGAGGGGAGCGAGGAGCGGAGCGAGGAGAGGAGCCGGGGAGAGCCCCGAACTCCGCGCAGCCCCCGCCAGCGCTGGGCGGCAGCCGCGGCACCGCGCCGGGCTCCTGCCCTCCGACAGCTCCCGCTCCGCTGCCAGTGAGGAGGGAGCTGTAGGGGACACGGCTTTAATTCTTATTCTTTTCTTTTTTTTTCCATTTTTTTTTTCTTTTGAGGGGATGCTGAGAAAGCAAACCATTCCCCTCCCGTGTAGCACATTGCCTGGGCGTTCCTATTATGGAAGTTAAGTGAGAAACTCTGCAGCTTGAACTGATTTGGGGAGAGAAAGGGAGAGAGAAAGGGGGTAGGGGGAGGGCGAGAGCGAGAGGAAGGCAAAATAGCCGAACCAAACCAATGGTTTTCCTGCAAAGTGCCGGGAAGTTTGTGGAGCACTTTCTAGGAACCAGGTCCTTTCTCACAGTCTCTCCTTGTCTTCCGAAGAAAGAGCTTGCTTTTGGATTGCCATGGATCCTAAAGAGAGTCTTAGACACATTTGAATAATTCCCCTGCTTGGGCTGGATTGGTGGGAATTTAGGAAGGAGCGTGTGTGCAAAGCAGAAGCCTTCGGAGCTCACTCGCTGCTTCTCTAATCTGTATGGATCTAAAAGTGTCACATTCAAGACCTTTGCATCTCCAGCTTTTGAATTGAAGATTTCCCTTTCCACTTTAAGTAGCTGCTAGGAAACTGAAAACTTTTGGACCTACCTCTTACTGGCTTTGGATACTTTTTTTTTCTTTTTTTTTTTTCCTTTTCCTTTTTTTTTTTTTTTTTTTTTTTTTTTTTTTTTTTTTTTTTTTTTTTTAATCTCTGTGGAATTGGTCTCGCAAGCGATCGGGATTGTTTTTAATATGTCAAAATGGGTCTGCTGACGCCACTCCTGCTCCTCGGATTTGCGTTTTTTCAAGTCTATGGTAAGTTCGCTTATTTTAGATATGTCATTTCTGTGCAGAAATCCCGCTCATCTGAATGTGACTTGGGACAGCACATGGATGCCATTATAAGCTTTAACGTTACAGAGCCCTAAGTTTGTTTCTGGTATAAAAATGGTATTTGGGGAGGGAGGGATCGGAAGAGGGAGAATATATGTTTCCAATAAGCAGCCCTTACCGTCTCCTAACTTAATGGAAAAGCAGCTTATGAATGGAATAATGTCAGTTTGAGGTGGCGAGCAAAGAGTAAAAAACTACCGTGCTAAATCTTTTATTTGGGGATGGGGAGCGGGAAGGGGAAAGGAAAAGCAGAGCGCTGTTGTAGCTGCTATTACTTTGCCGCCTTCTATTGTTAAACTTTCAGCGGGTAGAGCCAGCTGATGAAATAAATAGGTTAGCCCTGCCTGAGCGCCAGGTGAGGCGGACTGGCGGATTTCCAGAGTCCCTCAACGCCTGGCTCGGCGCTGGGGAGCGGCAGGAAGGGAGGGAAGGGAGGGAGGCGGGCTGGGAGCGGCGTGGCCCCGACCAGCCGGGCAGGTGGGGCGGCAGCATCCCCCCGGCTGCATCCCCCCGGCTGCATCCCCCCGGCAGCATCCCCCCGGCTGCATCCCCCCGGCTGCATCCCCCCGGCTGCATCCCTCCGGCAGCATCCCCCCGGCTGCCGAGCCGCCCGCAGGGAGGGTTTGCGTGAATCCTGGCCACGTCTGGGGAAAGGGCGGGTTTCCTTGTGAACACCGGCCCCTCCCCCTGCCCTTTGGGTGTGCTCTGCTACGTTTCTTGTGGTTTCCAGTCTAAGTGCCGGATGGGGAGCTGTAAATTACCATCTCGGGGAAGTAGGGTTTAGCAGGGCGAGAACTTCAGTGCAAGGGCAAATTGCCTTTCGGAGTAGGGTGGGCGCTGTGCTGCTGCGCTGGCCGTGGATGCGCTAGGGCACCTCAAGCTCACGACTAGGAGAGAGCATCCAGCTCTACAGAGGGTGTGCTGGCTCCTCTACAGAGGGTGTGCTGCCTGCTCGACAGCCCGGCTAGCACTGGGTATTCGCAGCGCTAAGCAGTCCTTTACATTTGAGGTGAACGCAGTGTCTGGGAGCCTGGGTGTTTGTGCCTGTCGGTCAGAGCAAACTTTGTTCCAAGAAGCTGTTCACAGCATTTACTATGTCAGTCCCGAGGCAAGGGCTCTGGGTTTATTGTTTGCAGTCGCAGAATGCTTTGGGTGTTTCTCCACCACCCCCTAGCAAGAAAGGAGGCAAAACAGAAGAGGGACAGATTCAAGTGCAGTTTTACCTTGGGTGCATGATATGCTCTGCAGTTAAATCTTAGGTTTTGCCAGTCGATAAGAAAATTTCTACATAATGTATGCACGTGCTAAAAGGAGAAGTTTTAACTGTGAAAGGATTTAATAGAACATTTATGTCTGTCAGTGCAATCATAGTTCTGAAGGGATTTTGTTTTATGTTTTGCTCTATTTTTCTTGCTGTAACAAAAGAACCTTAACTTTAAGGCCACTGATATTGGAGGTATCTTTGTGTACAAACTGAAAATATCAGGTTATAGAAATGTAATTATTAGTAAGTGCTAAAAATTGTATGTAGCTAGAAGGAATACAATTAAAGTGCTCAGTGGAAGTGACAAAGTGAATCAGAGGAGCTTGGTGTTACAGAATGTAATTAAAGTACCAGTCTGTTTGGAGATATATGAAACAAATGCAATTAACCAGCTTGCTGGAACGACAGGAGCACGACGTAATTTATTCGAGTTTTGTCATGGGGAACACATGTAGAACGTTTGTTCTAGTTTAGCCTTCTGCGGGTGGGGCGGTGCAGGTGAAGCACACAGTTGATTTAGAGCCAGACCATTAGGAAAAAATGGCCAAGCAGCTCCCGGAATGTATATGATACTCCCCTTTTGTGGGAAGATATTGCAGAGACTGTCAAGTTTGGCTGCATTAACAACTCTCTGAAATAAATAAATAAAGAGCTTTGTGGATAGCACGTCATGACCAAGTAGATATAAGCTGTTATTGTCGAAATGACTAACAAGTAGCTTTGAAGAAATACTGGCAGGCAAGCTTGGCACACAGTGTTTTTGTCTCTTTAGAAGCATAGTAATTACAATCACATCTTAGGCTGACATATACCACTAGTTGCTTTGAAAAGAACTCTATCAACATCAGCACCATTTGTGATGCTTTAGTTTAAGAATAAAAGACAAAGCCCAGCAGACTTCTTGTTTATAAGTCCTTAGTTTGTTTTCTATGTTTGAAAGTTACCTCTTAGTGCATTTCTGGGTTTGAGGGGGTTTTGTTGTTAGGCTTAGATGAGTGTTTTTGTTTTTATTCTTGGCAAGAGGTCCAGATATGGACACTGTAGCATTTGAGGCATGTTAACCATCCTTTTCCCTTTGACTTTCATTTTATTTAGTAGTTGAAAAGTGGTATAGATCAAAATGATAATGTTTTTCTTTTCAAGTTATTTTTGCTGTCCATGGTTTTAGAACACCTGAAAATTAGACAGCTCAATGAAAGTGGCAGAAAACATGTGCTACATACATGTATGTAGATTTTAGGGTTTTTTTTTATTATTGTGCTTTTGATTTTCCTGTAACCCTGCCCATATTCTTGCACTCTGATAAGTAAATAACTTCCATTTCTTTAGCTATCTTTTCTTCCATTTTCTTTAACTATCAGTCCTGGTTATTGTTCTTGGCACAAAGCAAACAAAGAAAACATCAAACACAAAAAATCCCAAATACCAAAACACACACAGAACTCCCCCAAACAAACAAGAGAACACCCCACTAGACAGAGTTTGCACCATCAAGTAAGCCACTAGCTACTGGAGTTGAAGGTGCTGATTGCATGTGGATTTTTAATAGTGTTCAATTGATTGTTCTTTCATTGTTATGTGTTTTGTTATCCCTTTTGCAATAATTAATAAAGTTTTAAAGAACAAATATTAAAAGGTAATAACTGATGTGAATACAGGTGTTGGTGAGCCAGACCCTGACCTGGTAGGACTCATAAGTACTTTCAATGAACATGACAACCTTTTATGTCAGAGCTGGACTAAAACTGCAAGTGTGATGCTCTTGAATGGGAGAAGGTGTTAAAGATATATGAGAGTAATTCTGAAAAAACAGCCTTTTATCACCATATTAATATATTTCAAAAGCACTTCTTAATGAAAAATGTGCATCTGAAATGGTGTGGTAGCTGAAACATTCTAATTTTTTTTCTTTTTAATGTTTAAAAATTAATTTTATTTCTTCATGCCAATGATCTACAGATCTGTGGCCTTGTCCAGGTCCCTGTTGCCTGTTGGAGAACATGGCTTACATATAAAGCTGGAGTATATTGTTCCAGTGAATATTTGAGCTGACAGGGTCTTGATCTCGCATGTGAGTTTTGCTGTTGATGGATAACCTTTGCTTCTGTGGAATGTGTGCATTTTAATGCCTTAAGAGTAAGATTCTGGAGAGTTTGCAGTTTTGTTTCTGTTACCTTGTTCTTCCATGGGACCCAATTCTGCAGAGCATTTAAGTGCTTCCATCTCTTAGCCACAGTCTTGCTGAAGTTAATAAGAATTTAAACACATGTTCCAAGTTAATCATAGGCCTTAAAACTTTGCTGAGTAAGCATGAATTTATGCCTATGATGACAGGTTTTGCTGAATTAGTCTTAAATTTTGCTTTCTTTCCCTCCTGTCTTGTAAGTCACCATTGCAACAATATGTTTTTATGTGCAGAAGATAAGCAATGAGTGAACCCTGTCATTGTACTTCCAGAGTTGGATTTGTTTGAGAAGTAAATAATAATCCACGTTATTAGGTTTGTGTCTTTGCTAATTTGGAGCTCTGCAAAAGGTCTGATACTCCAGAAGTCTTCCTAAAAAGTTGAAATTAGGGGGTTTCAAGCCTTCATCTGAGTTGCACTGACTTCAATAATCTTTCCATTAGCAAGTCTCTGTAATGATGAGATTTATATTGCTCAGGGAAATTGAGTTTTAGCAATGCAGGCTAAAGTTATGCAACCTTAAAAGTAGAGAAAAGAATTAAAGCACATTTTCAAGGATGCATAAAAGGTATCAAGGAGACGTGCCAAAAAGTGTGATGAGAGAAAAAGGAGGCTTTGGCTGGTCTGTCCAGTCATCTCCATTTACAGGAGTCTCTTTTCCATAGCAATGCTATGTGGGCTCATAGCCCTGAATTCAAGATGTGCTCTGTCCACTGCTGAACCATTTAGTCGAAATTACTGAAGAGTATGCAATGGCTCTGTAGCCATTTGTTACCCTTGAATTGCTATTCAAATATTGATCTGGGCTAAATAGATTGCTAACAGGTTCTGTGCATTCTGTTTCAGCCACCTAAGAGGATGCTGCTGTCAGGTTTTATCTGTTATCTCAGCTGGCATGGCAGAACTTGCTCTTCCCGTGGCTGCCATCTGGCTCACACTTCTCACACCAGCCTTGGGGAGGATACTCAGTGATCATATTGATGCAGTTTCATGCCAAGAGACACCGTTACTGTGGTGCTTTTCTACCTTTCTGTAGAAATCTCTTTTTATTTCGCAAGAAGAAGGCAGAAGAAAGCCTTACTCTTGCCAAATAAATAAATAAATGTGTTGGCTTTTTGGTTTCTTGCACATAACTGAATTTTTAACGTACCCCTTTATTGTTGCCTGAGGATTCTTGTACTTATGTTTTGACAGTGCACATGCCTTGTATGTTCAAAACAATTCATTCTGGTATGTGGACTGGTACAGGATCTGATCCTAAATCACTTCTTCAGAGAGAATGTTAAAGATATCTTTTATGCAGGATAGTTTTGTGGACTGTTATATATGAGATCTCTGAATGCAAAATAATTGTACAGAAATATATATTTGCAGATGTGTATTTTGTTGTCACTATCTTTACTCCCACAACTGACTACTGCTATAAATTGTGGACAACAATTGAGCAGTTGAAGTTATAGATTCAGAAATAAG